CGCCTGACGCGTGGCTCTGGCTTCTGATTGGTCAATAAAGCCTGTTCTGTTGTACCAGTCTTTTACCTATTGGGACTCGGCTATTCTACAATGTTACCGGACAGGAATCTGAATACTCCGCTAGATAAAGCAAATATTTAAAACAAATTTTAAATCCAACGCTAATAATTTTTTCTTAAAATGTATTTGTTTTAGAAATTTTTTAAAAGTTAACACATCAAGACTTTTAAAATCAATGCATCTCTGATTTAATGTTGCATCTGTATTTTACATTGCAAAGACATATTTAGTCATGCTTAATCTTTAAAATTTTATACTTTTTTAATTGTGCAGAAAAATGATTTTTGTTTTAATAGATGAAAACCTTAGTTTGTATATGAAGCTTCTTTGAATTGCACAATAAGTCATTCTGCCAAATTCCTGTCTTCGTCGTCCGTTTCTTTATATTGGTGCGCACTACCAAATATGAGTTGCTAAATTTTGAGTAGGCTTGGTTTAAACAGTACTTTTTCTTTTTTTGAATTTCCGTTTGTGTCAAACAATTTATCTTGTCCTCCATCGTTAAAACTGTGAAGTTTCTCAAAGTTATTTTCGCTATTAGTAACTTGTTTTTGTAAAAAAATGTGAGTTGAGTGAGTTGGTCCAAACTTATAATTTTTGTAATACCCACATCTAGTTAATATTTGACGCGACATAGTTGCGTTTGTTTCGTATCTGATCCTATTAATCGCCTTCTATAAATCTCGATTTAATTGACTTCTTTACAGGAATTAGTTTGCCTATTTTTTTGTAAAAATAATTTTTTGCATTTTCGACACATGATTTTTATAATAGGCAGGCTGAATCTGATAAAAACTATTGATTATGATCTGTATTTTTAACATTACGTGAATTTTGATCCAGATGTTCATTTTGCTTTGCTAAACTTACTCTTACACATATTTTTTAAATTACAGCCAACTTGCTTAAACCCCGTTTTGTCTTTTTAATCAATAGATCAGTTAATATCTGGGTTAACAAATGCAATAAGTATGCTGCTTTCTGTAACTTGTTAGCTGTCGTTTTGAGCTGTATTTTGACCCCTTGGCTAAGTGCCGGAATTCAGTTAGCTCAATTGTATGTTTCAAATATGTACTAATCCTTGTGTTTAACCAATCTAATTATTACTGAACCCCACACTGCTTTCTCGTCTTGGATTCAGGAACAGTGCATAGAATTATTAAAAAAAGATCGATAGGACTGTATTTTTTATTTCCTGGACAATAATATATTTTCCCTAAGACAAAATTCTATGCGATCATTTAGCTTAGTGAGTAAAATAAAATGCACTAAATAAATTTACTGATTAATTAGAGGAGGTGGGGAGCAGCGACATTTAGTGAATTTTGCTAAATTTGTTTGTGTATTCAAATAAAAATAGTCCCGGTGATGGGACAAATCAATGGTAAAACATTTTCTAAAATCGTTAATAGTCTCATTGCAAAGTTGCTTGGGATTGACTAAACAAATTTTCCATTAAAACTAGAAACATATTTTAAAAGGCATTAGTAGATGCAAATTTTGTCAATTTTATTTGTTGTCTAATTTTTTCAGATAATGGATATCGGTAAAACAGATGCAGAGTATCCCGATGATACAGCACTTCTTAGCTCTGCGGCCCACAATAATTCAAACCTGCCCCTGTTTCTTCCCTTTCAAATGATGGAAAGCCTTCTGGAGAAACTGAAACTTCTCGAATACGAACACACATACTGTAATCCTAATCGAATCAAGGGTTTCTCTAAGCTTCATTTCGCCATTCCCACGAACCCGGGTGAACAGTTCAATAGTTTTGTCAGTCTATCTGCTTGGCTTATTGGCCAATCTGGTCACTATATAGAGCAACCCCAGGAACACGACGACCCTAACGCCACAATTGCTACTATACTTGATTCTTTGCGCACTCTGACAGGTCAGACACCTGACTTTCCTCCCTCAAAGTTAAAATCTGGTTGTGGTGAATACTGTATACAAGTGCTTGATTTGTTGGCTGACACAGCTGTGAAAAACAGGAACCTAAACTATGACCCCCCGCAGATTGAGCAGGACGATGAGGAGAGCCTTTCAGATCGCTTAAATATTGTTGACAGATCCAGTCAAGTGGACGACGTGACCGCTTCGACACCAGAGAATGATGATTTGGTTGAGTGGACCGTAAACAAGGCTGGGATCCTGCCAGAAGTAAGAGTCGGTATTTGTGACTCAGAAGTGGAAGCAGAGATAGAAGAAACTGGTGATGAACTGAGACCAATGGACTTGAAATGTAGGCATTTATGTATAAAATCTATTGTTTATCGTGTTTTGGCCAGCATTGTATCTCTGAATTGGTTTTGAGAGAAGTTTGGCTGCATTATAATTGATAATTATATTTTTCTGTTTTTTTCTTTACTGACTGCTTAAATAAAACTTTAGCTGTCACAGCACTTAAGGCTTTGCAAAATGCATTTTCGGCATTTTATATATTTTTGCATTTGATATCCTTAACAATGGGACTGCTGTAAACCGGATAATTGTTTAGAACAAAGATAATATTAAAGGTACAAGATTAAACGATTTCGTCTTGATTATACGTGGCAATGTCTTAACGATTGTTAAATGATAAACTACCAAAATGGAGAGCATGCCTATCTCAAAAAGGCGAAACTATTTTATAAGCAAATGTAATAAACTGAACGTCGTGTATAAAACAAATCTTAATGTTTGCGGCCCCCTTTCGATGTTTCCCAATGCAGTATAATCTGTTAAAATAATACTATAAAGAAAGAATTATCAATTGACTGTAAGAGATGCCAATTATATTATGATGCTCTTACTATCTGTGAAAAGTTATTTCTAGTTCAAATGTACCTTAACATCAGCTCCCCCTCAGAAAAGATGTGGATATTCGGTGTGCTTTCGCAGTAGCGGTCTCAGTGAGCATCAACAGTAAAGTAAACTGGTTCAACAAAGTCAACTTTGATAAAAGTGTTTGAAAGGTCGGGCAAAGATTCTGGTCGGAAGTGGAAGAAAGAACAAGTCTCGGCACTTGGTAAGGCAAATCTAATTTAATGAGCAGCCGGAAGAAAGATACAATTTAAGGAGTTGGAGTAACTCAGTTATGTTTAGATCAGTAAGTTAAGAATCAACGTCCCTGTATATTATCGCAGGTGGGGAAAAATACAGAACGTTTTGGGATGGCTGCTAACTGATGAGTACTTTTTGTGTTTTAGGGTGATAAATACTATTTGAGTCAGTGAAAATACTATTCGTCAAGTCTTTTTTAGGCGTACGGTGTAGTTTGTCCTTGCAATCAAAGGCCAAGTCTAAGTGAACAAAGGTATCTAACTTCGAAATCTAACGTTTAACATCTAAAATGAGTTGACCTACTCTTCAACTGCTTGCGCTATCAAGCAAAATCACAGAAATCCCTTAAATGTAGTCCGGTATTCTAGAATGAACCCTTTAAATTTAGAGCCAAAATTAACAATGATAGCTTGCCAACCTAGAGCAGTAACTCATATTTTCGCAGATTTGGAATGCGTACTTTTAAAGCTATATAATTTTTCATTTTTTTCTTTTACTATGATAGAAATATTAAACCAATGTAAAGGACTTCGAACGTACACCTGTTTATTGAGAGACACTTTAAGATAGGGTGCTTAGTTAAATAAAAATTACTTTGTATTTATCAGTAGTAGCCATCAAAAAGATTCAATATCGCTTCAAGAATTTAGCATTTAAGCTCCTTCCAATTTTCGACCAATTGCGTTAGGAGTGAAATTCTAACTTGAAATGAAGGTTCCAAACATGCGTTAACACGTACAATTATTGAGCGAAGTCCGGCTTGGAATAGTTGAGCCACCAGAGCGTTCCCCCACACAAGATCCAGAGTTTTGCTTAAAAAATAGCTTAGCACCTTTAAAATACAATTTAATTAATTTTTTTGTACTCCTGGTAGCTTAACTAATCACTAATCTCTAGTCAATAATTTATCCCAGTCCTAACAGAGACCCGTCATTAAGTATCGCCTTTGACTAGACCAGAAAAGGAATACAGCCCCATTCTAAAAAAATAACTTGGCCATCTAGCACACGGCCTTCTAGGTCCCAATTATTCATCTCCTTATTCAAGTTCACAGCTTATTCATTTATTCGCACAACGTATCTCGGTAAATTATCAAACAAGAGTAGTGGCAGAGAATATTAGCAATGGACTAGAAGAAGTGTTGGTGACACCTTACACAGCAACGGCGCATTTATTTGTACGTGCAGGTTAAACTTTTACTTGTAGATTTTTATTTGTGTAAAAACAACTAAAAACAATGTGTGGGCGACTCGAGGCCTGGAGATACATGGCACTTATTGTGCAATTCTTTGGACAACCATAGTTAGTTTTGGCTTCGTGCGATCCCACTGTTCTCCCCCTTAAAATACACACAAACCGATTGTGTACGTGGTTTGGTAAGGTAAGCAAGACGCGGAAACAAAACGTGTTATTGCCATCATTGCCTTTGAGGGTTTTAGGACTCCCCTGCACCAGCCTCACAAAAATTTCGGCTCTTTTTCTAGCATTCAAGGTATGTCACTTAATTTTTGTAGACTTGGACAAATCTCAGACGAATGTAAATGAGGTGCACGGTGAAAATATAAATAGCGAGGATCCCTGCTTTGTCGATCCCCACGGGCCTTTCGGAGGCCTCTTGATGGGGACGGCGAGTTATTACCGGAGTCGAGGTGGCTCCGAAGGCACCCCGGACAGCTTTTCGGGTGCATGTAGAGGCATTCTCGAGCCCACAGTAGAGCCCGGGGAATGGCAAATGGAAGTGGAACGGGTGCTGCCGCAACTGCGCATTGTAAGTCGTCCAGAGACCAAAGACTGGCGAGGTCACTTGGACCAGGTCAATAATCATCGTAAGGAAATTGACTCGTGCTTTAAAGATTCACGTAGTCACCTTCAACGCCTGCAGGAAGACCTCAGTCGAGGACTGGACAAAATCAATAGCCGGGAGAAGTATATCAATACCCAGATCGACCAAATTCTAGCAGAATACCGTTGTGTCCAGGTAAGTGTAAATTTCATGTTAATTCACATAAATTTTCTAATTAATCAAAGGTAAATAGCATAGCGAAAGAAAATCATTTATAAATGTCGACTTAGTGTGCATTCTAATGAAAAAAAATATAAGAATATTCGAATGAACAGTGCGATATGAAGTTAAAGGGAGGGAATTTTTTTACTGTTAGCCAAAGGTTCTAAATTTCTTACTCAAAAATGACGAAATCACCTCAAAGCGATATTGTGTAGTCCTGCATGTTCTTGTAAAGGTGCTAATGGTGCATAGAAATACTTATCAGTTTTCGATCAATTAATCTTCAGTTCAGGCCAGCCCTCATCAGTAGGTCTGTTGCGTGGGATTACATTTTGGGCGTTAAACGCAAGAAGGGGGTTCCGGAGCACGTCCATCTCAGAATTTTCAAGAAGACCTGTAAGGATAACATCTTTGGACGACTTTCACACAACTAGATAATTGCGAGTAGATTAACGGATATCGAATGTGACCTCCTTGTGGATAAGGCGCGTAGATGTGATCTAGCGTACAGAAGGCATTAACGAGTTTAATCCCATTAGCTGCAAACTGTTGTTGATACTTAAAGTGTCGCCCGAATGTCGGAGGAAGTTGTCATTTGAAGCAAAGGTTTTAATTTAATTCGACATCAAGGACAGGCTGTGCAGGATGAAAGAGCGCTACAACCAGGCAAGCGGTGGCATAACCAAACGAAGTAAGGTCTTAACGGAGTTATCAGATGAGTTGGAGCGTGTGAAACAGGAGATGGATCAGCGAGGCTCAAGCATGACAGACAGCTCTCCGGTGGTTCGCATCAAGCAGGCCATCCAGCGTCTCAAGGCCGAAAACGTTGCTATGGAGATTCGTATTGGTGTGCTCGAGCATACGCTCCTGCGAATGCACTTGCGTGCACGAGAAGAAAGTCAAAAACCACTCTTCATGCATCCATATCCCCTAGAAGAGGCTGGCGGACGACTCCTCGCATCTGGATCTAAAGGGGGAGACAATAAAGTCAGCTACTAGATCCTTCATTTTTTACAAAATCCATACCTGTAACAACGCTTGTGATTGGTATTATTCAACTGACTATTACAGTCGCTATGTTCTACTTGAAAACACGAATTGGCATATTAATCGCGGAAACCTCTTTCATCGAAAATCCTTTACGGCTAATGTTATTAAAAAACAGAATCAACGTAATCGCAAGATTGAGTTGATGTACCTCAAGCCTAAGGTTTTTGGTCGTTGTCGTATAGCTCAACCACATAAATTGTTTACAAGATATCACGGCACATTTTTTAAATGAGCAAAAACAAGAGATTAATTCTAGCTCATTAAATTTTATCCCAATGATTGAGATCCATGCAGTCGCCGTCTCGTCCGAACGGCCTCTCAAATGTCCACAAACAAATGGTTGATGCATTAAAATGTATACGATGCCGCTGGACTCGCGAAAAATTCATCATCACCGAAATTACTCAACAAAGTTTTAAACCTTTGACACCTCTACTTTAGACAAGAGGACATATTTCGTACAGCTTAGTAACTGAAATAATAGGTAACCAAACGTCTGGCATTTCCGCATAAAAATGACCATTTCAAAAGGAAAGTCTGTTCCATGAATCTTATCTTCCTACGACAAAAACAAGCCAATGCGTAAGTGGAGCGCTTCACGCCTTCCTTGAATGCCAAAACGGCTCGGATTATGCCAATACATTCGCTACTCCCAAAGATATGTGAGTTGGGAAATCGTCGATGCAAACTTCATTAAATACAACAAAGCCATGTTGTGCCTGGCGCAAAATTGCCAAGCTCCCCCCTTTGAAACACATAAAGTATTACACAACAAAGTGACGTTTTAAGAAGAAAATATGCGGAAAGTATACTTATGGAATGTGTACAGAAGAAAGTAGGAATAGGAGAGTAGTAAAGAAGGTAATAAGCACAGCCGGAACATAAAAGACACAAAACCAGAAGCATAATGATACGGAAAAAAGTATCCATTACATTGTCACACCTATCCCATTGGCTCGATATACAGCCAACTTGATAGCCTTCACCGCGTCACCTGCCTCGGGTATGTGCAGACGAACAGCCTCTAGTGTCTCCGAAACGAAATCTTCGGTAGCACGGGAGAAGTGGAATGTTATGACCTCAGGGATGAGTTTGTTCGAAGTAATTTTTTTCAGCGACACCAAGGGAAGTGCAAATTCAATCAATCCGTCAGTATTCCGCTCAGGGCCGCCGCTGCCAGAAACGTTCTTCGAGGCGGAGTTTGATTTCTTGTGGAATGTTTTCTGGACGAAATTGCCTAGGGACTCAAGCAATTGCTTCTCTCGTTCCTTTACTAGCACGATATCTTCCTCCAATAGAAGAAGAATACCACGATTGGAGAGCGATCCATTAGGGCTAAAAAGCCTGCATATAAAGCTGCTATTCACTTCAGGCATTTTTCGGCAATCATTGAAATCAATCAACTGGCCAGCGACACAGTGTCTTAAATTGCTAAAAACCCTTTGGTTAGTTTTCATTTTAACCGTAGACTCAGCCAGTGGCAACGAGATTGGTCTGTAAACCAAATCAGGGTTTTCGTCATCTTCATCGTCATTGTCATCGATGCTAAAAACGGCCGCTGTGTTTCGGTAAGAGGCAGGCTTGACCACAGAAACAGGAGTTGGCGCTATTTGGGGAGCCCTGGAGGAGGGGGTTGACTTTTTGAGAAGATTCGAGAAAGTTGACAACACGATATCAAAGGGTTGTGCGGTTGGAGGAATCGAGGCGCCACGAGGAGTGCTCGAATGGAAAGTGGACGACAACAGAGGCTGTTGACGAGCCATCCGGACAGCCTGCTCACCCCGATTTGTTGCGCATACAAGGCAAAGATCAGCCTCGTGAGACACCAAACGTCGGTTGAATTCAAGAGGACCGAGTGCTTCGTGGAGAGCCGTGTAGCCCCCGTACACCATGCTCACAAAAGCTGTGTTTAGACGAAGGAAGTGGGCGATAACCATGTTTGCTACTCGATCCTCTGCTAGTCGACCACTGCCCATAAAAACTATGTGCTCTCCGACAGCTTTGGAGCCAGAAGCAATTCCGCGTTTCTGCGTTTGTAAGAGAGCCTGAAAAGGAAAATGTGGGTTCACGTGTAACAGACGACGTGCTACAAAAAAAACACTGAACTTGGCTAACCTAAGAGTGTTAGGTAGCTGGTACCAGCAGTGCAAAGAAAAGACAATTACAACGTGGTGCTCATTTTAAATTCCCATGTCAATCAATAGCATGATTAAAGAAATTGTGAACTATGAACACTAGTTACCAGACCACATCAAATAATAATGTGCTGACATCCCACGAGGAATGGGTCTTAGCTGACAAGAACGAATGATGAATAGATTACGTTCAAGTGACCGATTTTCGCTACAAAAATAAATCAAACACGACAAATGTTCGAATAAACCATCACAAGATAACCACATATGTGGACACATAGGTGATTTAGAAATGGAATCCTTCCAGGAGCATAGTACACGGAGTCTATCGGCAATTCCATTGTTTTAATTGGACTACCAGTATCCAGTTTATTTTTTATGAGAAGTGAAACTAATCCACCATTATACAAAAAGACTAAGTGAGATGCAAACAAGTTAATAAAAAAGAGGCACATCAAAGGAAAACCTCAAATGGGAAACATTTCAGCCTTGAAAACGAAAAATCAACTACCTGAACGCTGGTATTAAATTCGGGAGGATTGCTTAGCATGAGCTCCGTATCTAGGTAGAAAGCGGTGGCAAGATGACCGGCGTTGTACTGATCTGCTGGTCGGCAGTCGACAAGCAAGAAGCGGACAGCTCCTGCTTCCTCATCCTGTTGTGTCATCTCATTGCGAGAGGCCTGAGCGCTCAGTATCTCCTCAACAGACACCAACAACGAAAGGGCTCCATTGATGAGGTAATTATCGTTTTCGGGATCAGGGGAACCAAAAATCAGAGGCAGATATTTAGTGTGGAATGAAAACGGCGTCTTACGATCGTAAATTTGAGTGATTTCAACCAGTGCAGCGAGATCGGAGGACTGCATTGGTTTAGGCAAATCCCGTAATTCGGTAAGAAGTGCATCTTAAAAGGGTAGACAAAACTACAACATGAACCTGCTCGCGAAAGACCACATTAGGGATATTACGTTTTTACTAAAGTGGACCGCATGTCAGGGCGCAGTTTATTTTCGAAGGCTAAATGAAAGTATTTCAGTCTAATTGTAATACAAAACGAGTGTAAGGTACAAAATGCATAGGAAAAAGGCCGGTAAAATAAGTGTACCGCAGTTATTTAATCCAAAGTGGTAAATAGACAAAGCAAGACATAAGAGTTAGTAGAAAACGACCCTCAAGTCTGGAACTGTTCACCTTAATAGTTATAAAAGATCGCTCGTTTACGCTTAACAGCAAACTAGGGGCTACCATTTACAAGGAATCCTACACAGGACTTGCAAATGAGGTCATTACTTACGAGTCTTTGGAGATTTGCTCTAACTGCGGCAGGCCACTTACAAATTTTCAGCAGAAATTTGCTGCATGAACACAGTGCCATTGACTAATTTTACTTTTGAGCATTTCTGGACATACTTTTAGGAGGACTTATTGGCGTGATGTCTTTTTAGGGTTACTCATCGATTCAGCAAACGTTTAAAAAGGCCCATATATTTGTTTTTTGTACGCAACTACAACAGCCAAAGCAGTTGAGTTCTTTAAATGCAACGCATGCTATTTAGCAGATGTGGAATGACATGCACAGAAATCCGAATGAGAGTCAAGACAATTCGAATAACATCCCTAATTTAATAACTGCAATAACAGCGATGCGTAATACCGTGTACGCTACCCGACAATTTAAGCTCGACCATGCTATTTATTGGAAAAGTAAGCCTTTAAGCAGGACATCGCTACCTGGTCCTAAGCCATACAATATATGTAGACTGCCATTAAATGACATAAAAGATTGGGCTGTTTAATACCGAGAAAATACCAGATAATTCGATGGGAATTTTTTGGGTACCACTTGAATTAAAAAAATACCACACCTCAGAATTGTTTGATGCTTAGCACATATTGACAGCGGGTTCAATTATTATTGAACGCATGTAATCAATTGGTAGTTGGTTTACGTGATTCAAAGCCAATGTTTCTAGTATTGTTGATCTTGAATCCATTACCGCACACTTAAGTGATAATTTAGTGAAAACACTGCAGGTAAAGCGTGTGGTTTTGTAAAAGCCCAACTCTCGGAAGAAAATACAGAAAACTCAGCTTTAAGCTACACCCTTGCTCAAATGTTGCTGCAAATCACCACAATCTACCTGATCCAACACATTTAATAAAGGTTAAGCAAGTAAAACCACCGAAAAATTGCGAGTCCAGCAAAAAGACTAGTCACCATGCATAATGGCATGAGCATTGTTACAATAAGGAAAAGCGTAGAAAATACCTCTAGATTTCGGCGTAACGACCACAGATTCTTTTTCAGCAACATCGGGTTCTTCCCCATCGTCCAAACAAAACGCCTCCTCCACTGCCTCCTCTGCAATTTCTTTATTCATCAAGCGGTCTTTGGCATTGACAAGCAGTACCAAAGCAACAAAAATACCAAATTCGGGTTTTCCATGCAAGAAGTATATGTCCCACATTGACAATAAGGCTTCCTTCGTTAAGTGTCCTGCAAACAGTGTATTTAGCCAATCTTTGGCATAAGTCTCCGGTCCTAATTTATGTGAATCAAGAAAACTGCACAGTTCTGGCTCATGATATTGCAGTAACAGTCGGAAAGCACTACAAACTCGCAGGCTACCTTCAATCCCACTGGCAATAAAGCGATGGTACACAGAGGTGAAAAAAGCGTAGAGCTCTTCTCGATCGATCGGACGAAGAACAGTGTAGAGATTAGATAAGATAGACACCCAACCGTTGTCGGGAGCGAATTCGAGGGAGTACGTGTGCGAAAAGTGAGTAAGAACTGATTCAAACTCGCTGGTGAGTTGGAGTACCGTTGGAAGATTGCAGGTAGTTTCAGATCCACCCGAGGATAAAATTGCGGTCGCAGCTACCTCGCAAGCTGAGTGCAATTGCTCTTGAGTTTGAAGATCAAATATTTCGGTAAAATCAGACATTCTTGAAGAATTTGTCTCCACTCGAAGGCACAACCGCCAGAGGTCACGGCGAAGACGTGAAGGCACGGGACGAAAATGACAAATGGATCTGACTTTCATAAGTCCAGCATTTTCTAAACCCAAAACATTCGAAAATAAAGGCCAGAAGCGGCATAAACATTAAGAAGACATTATAAACTTGTTTATGATGTACTGCAGGACGTTGAGACGTGATTGAAGCAAAGCATACTGATTTCACGTCAGTCGCACCTATTTAGATCACAGTATTTAAAGTGCAGATTATTTGCAAAGTCGAGTAGAATAACAGAGCATTTTTGCTGCCCTGTAATTTATGCTAGGTATGTATTTCCTATTATTTTCAAAAATTGCTGAACGATGGACACAGAACTCAACAATCAAATTTATACAAACAAACCCCAAAATATTGAGATAAGGACAGAATCCACCTTGAGATACATCTAATTATTCGCTTGAATTAATGATAGAGACATGACTAAATAGTGCATAATGCTATAAATATAAGCACATAGTTAACCCCGTCTCGAATGATAACTGGGTCAAAATTTGCATTCAGTACATAAAAGCTACACCACAAATTTAGTGTTCGTGGTTGAAAGCAAATACCAAGTAAAGCTATTTCCAGTTCTGTTTCCCACGAATCGTCAGTACTCAATTCGTCGAGTGAAGAATTCGACGAAATAGATGCCATCAAGCCTTCCCGGTTATTTGTAGCTCAAATTTCAGCACGTATTAAAGAGCAAACATATTAGGTCATACGGCTTCAGCCAATCCACTGTCTATCTGCGTTCGAGTGATCAACGTGGAAAACCTGCAGCCAACCAGAGCCAAGGAAAGATTAATAGCAGTTTAGAAGGAACGATATTGCTACGTTGAAGAATCGGATTGATTGTGCCTGAAAAGTGATTCGAAAAAGCAGCTAATCCGCTGTGCCCAATTGCTATAGATGGCCTTTATGCATTATGTTTCGGGTAGTCGACCGATAATAATCAAAGCAGACATTTTCATCACTACATTAACCAAAACATTATGGCCCTTAAGGCAAATAAGAATCTATTCGTTCTGAAACGAATTTGATTTTTTAAGAAAATCCACAAGTGCATAATCTTACAAAATGTTTATTCTAACTGACATTGGAGTGTTCAACAAAATGCATTCTTTGAGTTGTCTCGTTTGAGGCAACAGAATTCAGCCATCACACAAGTCATAGTGCTTCAGAAACTGCCTCAAATTAAAAAAAAATATTACGCCTATCCACGTCTGCTTCCTTCTGTTTTGCTACCTAATCAAATGCGTTGAAAATGCAGCGCTAAATTCATTCTATACGATTCATTATGGGACTGGGTGATGCAGCATCGTAAGAACCACTAAGATAGGAGAGGTTGTGTCAGTAAATTATACTTTCTTCGTTATTAATTAGAAAACTATGTATTAGAGTTAGGTTAAACTGCTCAATACGCTAAACAAAAGTCATCTTTTTGATTCATGTCAGTGCACACTGCCATGCAGAGCATAAAATCAGAAAAAAACATTTCCTGAAAAAAATAATTGTAAGGCTTCCTAGGATTTTGAGATTGTCCTCCAAGGCAGCTAAAGCCATGATTTGACTAGTAATGCCACAGCTAGTTTATGTGGATACTACGTATAGGGATTAATGCATAATCAAAGTGATCTCGCAGGTTAGAGTGTATCACCCCTAACAGTGGGTTCAAAATTTCTTTACAATACTTATTCTTAATTGTGCCGCTAATGGTCATTTAATCAAAAGTGAAGGTAATTACACAAAAATTACTCTGCTAATTGAACAAATAAAACAAATTCTTGGGGAATTTTTGAAATGAACCTCGCTGAATAGCCAATTAACAAACTTAAACTGTATTGTTTTTCACTTAATTTAATTTCGCACGAATAGTTTATGTTTTAATTCTGACATCATTTTCTTATTTACAAAATTTAGAAAATATGTGCATTTAATCGTTAATATTTTAGGTGCATATATTAGTTAAACTAAGAATCCTTTTTGAGATCAAGGTCGTTTGTTTTATAATTTCTATTTGATTGCCGCGGTTTTGAACGCCTTTTTTTGCTTTTCTTTTTTTGCTTTTTTGGGTTCTACTTAGTGTCTTGATATCATGTCGATCCACTCTGCGCTGCAACAAATTAAAAAGGACAGTGTTTCAGAGAAATGGCAATTTTTACTGCTGTCGACAAATGAAGCTATCAGTTTGCTTTGGTTTTACAATCTTTACTTTAGGTGCTTTGGAAAATAAGAACGATTTGCGGCAGCTACCTAAGTATAAATTGCGTGAACTGGTTTTGGCCCCTATTCAAGTTTCTTTGGAATCCTCAAATACGCAGTTAAATTCTGATGCTCTCTATGCCCTGGAAGTAAGTGAAAGATATATTTTTGTTTTTAGTTATTAGGTATTCATCGATTCTGATGACTTATATGATAGTTGCGAATGCCCTATTGAAGAGACCGATCTGACCTTTCAATTTCTTGATACAATTTCACCCTGCACCATATTTAGTGAATCAATACAGGCTTCTTTTCCAAAAGTTTGTTAATCATTAATCGTATTACCTGAGTAGCTCTTGTTAAGGCTCTGTCTCTCTCGACATAGTCGGTTGAATGTCAATTCGATGTTAAGAATAATTCAGGTAAGGTTTCGTTGAGTGAATTATCGTCTTGATTCGTTATATTTGGTATAGACCTTCGTATTTTATTAAAGTTTGAATTTTTCGCTTCTTTCCAGTTGTAGCTATTTCTGCATGCTAATACTCTTTTTAAACTACTTGTTTGAGACGACTTGGTTCACAATTGCAACCAGTGAATCATGAAGTATTTATTAAGATTTGATGAATTTCCCCTAAATATATCTAAAATGGTTTTGATCACTGTTTTTCACTAAGAACTATCTAATTTTAGGGTTGCAAGATTTTCTTATTCTACAATGAATGTAGCCTATAAATTTTTACCTTTAATAAACGGCCATATTTTTTTACTGCTGTTCTTCAGATATCTAGCGTGTTGTCGTTGTATGCATCATTTTGTGACTTTATCAATGTAAGATCTGAACAATGTCGTACATTCTTGCAGATAAATTTTATGAATTACTTACATAAAAATGAGACTTATTAGGTTTATTTTAATGCACATGTAATTGCATACATCATTTGCTCCTTTTGTAGTATAAAAAACCTATTTTCGGCTTTGCACGAAAAAACTCGACGTGTTATATTACTTATCTTTTAACGTGACTGATTTTTTTAAAATTAAGATGGATATTAAGAGGTAGAGATCATTGAAGAATGTCCGTGTTTGGTCTAATTTTTAGATATGTACCGACATAAATAACAGGAACCAAATAAATCGGAAGAAAGAAAAAGCTTACGTCGCTCGAACAACGCTGGTTCAGGCAATCGAGGCTTTTGTGTTAAAAAACAATGCATGTGATAATCAGGTATTTTGCCATTAAAATTTCTTTCGTTATCTAAGTTAGCTTTTCATTTTACATAACTTCCGAATTATTTTCTTCTAATTTAGGAACAAGCTCACAAAATAGGTTCAAGATCAGTTTATCCATTACTTTGCGCTAACCTGGAGCATACATTTGATGTATCAGAACCTCAACTGCAAATTCTGGGGGTTTTCAAATGTTTGGTTGAGACAATGCTACCAGAAAACATTTCGACACAAAATCGCACGACAGTGCCAATTTACTTAGAAGCAATTGCAACGATTATTTCACTTCTTCCTGTAACCATGATTCGACAAAGAGTCTTCCTGAATATCCTCTGGTATATATTCTTCCATCGTTTTCGATTAATTTAGTATTGTTTGTCATTATTGTTCCTAGCAGTCTCAACCACTTGTGCGTTCGAAAAACAACGTTTTTTGGTTTTTTTTTAAAGGCAAAGGCTGTGTCCTGTTCTCATGTGGTTTTTGAGTAATCCGAAAGAGGAAAGAAGCATTACGTCCACTTTGGACCTACAGCAGCACCTGGAAAATGGGGCTGCACGTACAACCCATGGGTCAGCTAGCTCTGTAGCTCCTCCAACTTTGTGGCCCGAAGGACTGCGGTTCATTTATGAGTATGTTTGGGTGTAAAAATTGCCTTTCTAAATATTATCTTGTCGCCTATGGGAAATAGTGCTGCTGACTTGTAGCAGTTATGCCTGTTTGTCCCGTTCCCGTAAATGAACATCGGGAAATGTGAATTAACGCCCAATCAGTACCTTTGTCCCTTCTGTAGTTTTAAATGCAGCCTTAAAATAACTTGAGCAAGTGAACGAGGGTATATACACCGACTGATTATTTTTTCGAAATACCTCCACGCAAAATTTGCAATGATACTTACAATTACCGTTTCAACAGCATCGTAATCCACCTTGCCTATTTGGTTGGACCAGTTCGTGAACTGAGACCAATGTTGGAATCTCTTTTTCACAAAATGTTACTTTATCCACCGCCAAGCCATCGCCTGGATGCACTCAATGCCGTCTGTAGGGTAAGCTGTCATGATTTACGTTCTTATATAACAAGTTTGCCAGTCGAAATTTTAAGGGATCACATTACTCGTTCGCACACACCTGTTTGTCGCAAATCATGCCTGATACCTGACGAAGTTTGCCTTACGTTAAAATGAATTCTCTTGCGAATTCTACGTACAAAGTAGTTCTTGGTTAGCACAAAACACATGCTCGGAACACCGTTCTCAGGTGTTTCCAACGTGTGTCAACCAGTTATGCTTTTCGTCAAATGATGGTTAAGCTATCTTCTCAAACTGTCAATATTGATTAACTTCTAGGCCTATGTTAGGCGTGCCAAAGTCGTCGGCTTTTGACGGGCATTTTTCGCAACCGCTAGGTCCCGAAACCTCGCGATTAAGACCACTCTGGGACCACGCACTTTCTTTGAAGTAATTACTATGGTTCCCATGGGAAAAAAATGCATATTGCCATCCAAATTTGGTTCTGTAGGGCCCCATGCTTCTAGTTCAAAAGTAAAGGGCTTCTCCGAAATGCGCTATTCACAATTGACGTTGTTTTTCAAGGAGAAATTTTACTTTTCATATATTTTCAAATCTCCATTTCATTTACTCCTTTCTAGATCAGCGATTATTTATTTAATTCCTAAAATGCAACGCCTCTGTAAACTTCACCAACCATTAAGTAGCCATGGAATGACGATTGATATCAGCACATAGGTCTTGTAGTTGTATGCTTTTATAGATACTGGAGTCAACTGAAGGCATCCTTTGTATTGTTGGACCACTAATTTCCATACCCGCGCTTTCATCTAACAGCACCAATTGTTGTGAACTTCCAATCAGTCCGAAAGGGTCTCACAGACCGGATTTTCAACTTTTTAAAATGTGAGTTGCGAATTCTTCATAAAGCACCCCAATTCTCTTCATTGCCTGAAAATGTCTTCTAAAACCTTTTAACTAGGTGTCCATTCCATAACTTGGGAACTGTAATGCCGAATAACCGATTTTTTACCATCTATTGTGCTTCCATTGTTCCATGGGGAGTTTACGTGACTGTTAGTAAGTTAACCTACCAGAGGCCCTTTAAATCTGCTCAAGTTTTGAGCCTAATTAGCCCAATGCATCCCTCAAGACCATTGCTAGTGCGCCTATGTGGTCACGTAAGTAGCTCGCGACTGCTGCTTTTGTCAACATATTGACCAAAGCCTGAGGCAAAATTCCTGTGGGGGTATAAGATTCGAATAATTTAGTTATGAAAAATTGGTCTCAACTACTATTCGCAATGAGAAAACAATTACAGCATGAATCAAGCGTCCGGGATATGTTTGCACTCAATAGTTTGGAAGTTATATTACTGAAAGCCAAATCTTCGCTTGATTAACACCCTGCTTCTAGCTGAGTGTGTATGAATTCTAAAGGGCATATCCCAAGTCAAGTAATTTAAACATAAGGAAACCTCCACTAATCATCAAAGTTTCAAGACCCTTCTATAACCATCTGCAGCCCCAATGGAAATAATGACATCAGATTTCTAGAAATCACTGAAGACTTCAAGATTTCTAACCGCGTACTATATGTCCTAAAAAATTCGACATCAGCTGAGATGTTTAAATGGGAGTAAATACTTCGCGGCGAGAAATGAGACTTGAATAGGTTTAGTGGTTGTCTTACATATTCATCGAAGAGGACATTATGGGAACTGGTAAGTTTAGGATATTCTGGAGTTTATATAAATGCTCTATATGTTCACCGCTTTTGACGTTGCTCGTCAAGTAGGCTATCTTGTTTCTGCCATATTCGCTGCATCATGTCTTGTGTAACGGTCTTCACACTCTCAATGATTCGCTTATTATGTCACTCTATAGATGTAGGATGTGATGAAACATAGAACCACCCTTTCACACCGCTCCACAGAAAAAATCACACAGTGTCAGGTTAGGCGAGCGTTGGTACCATTTCAGTAGCAGCACGCTCTGGCGGTTTCTAATGGGGTTATGCTTGCATTTGAAGTTTTTAATGTGGTGGAGTCCTAGCATACAAACTACAAATTAGTTGTTAATTTGCCTAAATTTCGACAAGCAGTCAATTCTGGCGAATCCATGATAGTCGTCGTTGGTTATGTTTCCCTCGAAGATGTTGTAGAACACATTCAGATTTACCGAGTTCTCTTCCTGTTTGATTGTTACATGTGGCATGCCAAGGCTTTACTCGTACACTTTACCATTTGTATGAAGCGTAGCGTCGTAACTAAAAACAGGATGGTTTTTAGTGTTATCATATTCAAGTTTCCTTTGTATCTCTTCACAAAACATTTTATGCTTTGTCTTCTCATCAGGCTCTTAATCCTGCATAATCTGAAGTTTGTTGTCATTAGAATCGCCCGCTCTTCGTAAGGTTTCCTTGGTCTACAGCTAAACGCTTCGCGAATTTGTTTCATCATCTCTTCTGAAAGTGCCTGCCATTCGGATTATTCTTTCCGTCGGAAACAGCCTTCCTATTGAAAATTCTTATGCCTTTTCCAGATCTGCCTACCTGTTGGTGCTTGTATAAGAAATCTTGAAAAACCTCACCTTAAATTTTCACGTTAGACTAAGTTCGGGCGCATTTCAGCACACTTAATGCTCCTTTAGTTGCAACGGACGGCACATCTAATCATAAAAAGAACGCAGTAAATGGTTATAAAAAATAATGGCTTGCCAAAGTTGGAGCGTTGAAACGAATTGTATGTACATTATTCGGAGAACAAATGACATTAACTTTCTAGAAACATTATACTAAAAATACATAGTAAATTTTAACCCCCACAAGACAATATCTGACCTATTTTTGTAAACTGGGACTTCGAAACACCGACGGATTCGTGCAAACGGTGTCTCTGATTACTACAATTTCGAGATGGTCTATGTAAGTTTCGTGATTAAGTCCACAGCCACTTGGATATCGTCATTCGTCGAGTGCTAATTAGGAAACTGATGTCGGAGTTCTGATATCAGCGTTTCTATCAATTCTGTTAGCTCACGACGTAAAAAGATAGCCTACGACTCTCAATGATTGTCCAAACCGTTCAAGTCGCGCATTTCCTTCAATGTGTGAACATCACGGGTCAAATTTGTACAAAGTTGTTGTCGAAAATTTTACGATTGCACAGTTTATTTAGAATTTAGAATTAAACTTCACTGGTAGCTAATTAAATAGTGAAGTTGAAGCCGATTGTTGTGCAGTTAGTTTACCAAACAGGACATGATCGACTCATGACATTTCAAGATATTTCTCCTTTAAACAAACCGCGTTACGAAAGTAGTAAGTAACCAAGCATTAAGGATATCATTTATTCCGATCCCAATGAAGCGCCTCGATCTGTGCGTGGCTAGATTTGTCTTCGATTTTTTGAAGCCTCGATTTTGTAAGGGTGACTACATTATGTTTCCTATCACGGCTAGTCAGTAAGCCTAATTATTTTTCACCACTCAGCATAATAAATGACCCCTTTTCAAAGTATAAATCGAGTTAGTAAACAGCTTTTTGCAAAGCGGCTCTTCGGGATGAGGTAGGATTATGGCGTTCTCAGGCATTTCCGGCCAAAATAACTGATGAAGGTTCATTTTCATGTCCATAGATAGGAACTAGTTGTGCTTAATATCTGATACTTCAGAATGAGGTAAGAGAATGTTGGGTTTTATGGGAATAGTTATCCTTTTTATTTTTAACCCTAATAATGTCATTAATTGCCGGCTTCTACCAACTTAACCGTCCACTTCTGATATTTCACATGTTTTATTCGGTACTTTCTTTCAGGAATTTTGGTTCTTTCTGTAAGATAGTGAATAATACTGCACCATTTGGTAGACCCTTTCAGTTTTATTTTCACAGTTTGTCCACAGCTGAACTAGCAGAGTGGCTAAAACTTGTCAAAGGCAATTTTTTCCTTTGCACGTAGGACATAAACCACCAGATAAATTTAAAATGAGTTCCAGTGAGTCATCTTCAGTTTGCAGGAAATAGTACATTCAAAAGTGCCTCTCTATATTTCCGTACAGCACTGCAGTTAGATTATTTGCATCGCTGTATCTTATATAATTCTGTGTAAAACGTGAAAAGTTTGAGTTGCTTTTCAACTATGAAAAAGAAAGCAAATGATGAGATTGATATTATACTTTTTGCAAATTATGAAATTGCGGTTTGGAATTTCGCGACCGCTGCTTACAACTTTGTGACATGTTTGACTGTAATTTAAAAAATCTCCTGATTTCCGCAACTACAGAGCTTTGCCTTTACGCAAGTTTAAGTAGCATAGCGTCGTGGTTGTTAGTATCGCCTAATTGTGGTTAGATATAGCAGTTTGCACATGTTAAAATTAACGTTATACAAAGGTGTCTTTTCATTTGTGTGACTATTCTAGTATTTTAGAATCCATTCATGTCTGTTCAGCGACCGGGGACCAGGCTTTGGTGTGTGCCAGCACCAAATGTGTCGACGCCATATTGTCATCATTAACCCTTCTCCTCAAGGGTGGGGGACTGACTGAGGAGTTGGTCCAGATGACTGAGTCACAGCTGGAACGGGTGGAAGGTAACCCCAGAGCATTCTCATGATGGCATCAATTCGAAAACCTCAAATGATAATTGTTCCACTTTCTTAGTTCCAGAGGCCCTTGACGACAAAGAGAGTAGTAATGGAGAATCAAGAGCAGATTTCCTTCCAAACACAAATGTGAGTGTCTCTCGGATGCTATTTAGTAGTCGTGCAAACTTCGTTGTTCTTCGCGTTCAAAACACTTTATTCGGATTCATACTTTTGCAAAATGTCACCCGAGATATGATTGAATGAGGGTAAACCAGTAACAAGTCTGAAAAGTGTCATTATTCTCATTAACCATAATTACTAACTCTGTTCACTCATTTCTGTTTTCACCACATTTATTCATTAATAATTTCGTTTAATTTGCGAAGATCTTTGCTTATTATATGACTTTTGCACCTCAGCCATGAGTTGTGACCATGTCACGGTAGTATTGTCGAGGTTTGTGGAGCATCACTGAATCGTTCTTCCACCACGAAGAAGACCTACTCACAACAGGAGTAGTTGAATCTCTAAAGTTTACTTATTCAGAATACTTTTGTTGTCATATGATTGATCACCCAAGCCTCTTTTTGATTAAGGCAATCTTAAATAAATTGCCTAGTTGCATAAGAAACTCAGAGGACATGCGCCTGTCTCTTCCAGTCAAAGGTAATCAAAAAGGTTGCTCACGGCTAATTGCTAAGTGCCGAATCGTGACCTATTATACCTGATAACTTGTGCTTCTTGAGACATTCTTATCATTATGTGTAGTGATGTCTCTTGATGCCTTTTTTTCATATTTTTATCCGAACATTACCTTTAATCCTAACTGTTTCATCATGACTTATTTACCCTTTCTTTTGCACGCTAGCTCCCTCGGACATTGGAGGTAGACAGATGGGCTGCTCACGATTATCTTCTCTCCGTTATGAAGATCATTCCTAGTCTCCTGGATGCACAATCAACAGTGGAAATTGACAGGATCCTGCTGGAATTTAGTTCATCTTATTGCAAAGGTCCGATGGATATCTTTTTGTACTCAGTAGATTACTCGGAGTAATGACGAATTTTGCCTTAATTTACACTAATGACGTCATATAGAGGGATTATTTTGAGTTTTACCCTTCTCTGTATAAACGTTATGCAATCTTTGTTTTTCAAAGAACTTCGGTCGAGCGTGTCTGGAGGCATACTGAGTCCAGTAGAATCTTCAGAATTTGCGGACACATCACACGTGTACGACGTAAGTGGAACACTTCTCAACGCCGATGCGGTATACGTGGCCACCTTTAGTGCTCTTTCCCTCAACTATCGTCTAATAAAGGCAGGATTCTATTCGACCAGTAATAGGGCGACAGTGGAGGTCATGTCGGAGGTAGGTCAGGCTTTCGCCATTCTTAATAATGTTTTATCTGCATGATGAAATGGATAAACCAAGCGATACTTGTTGTGTTTGCTCTAATAGTGTTCTATATCTTGCAAAATCGTTAACTTTAGGTTTATTATATACCACAGTTCAATGCGAAAACGTAGGGCAATAACTGTGCGTTCGGATAAAAAGTACTGCCGTAGTATTCGAAGTCTTCAGACCAGGATATTTCAACCCTAGCCACTTCGCTTGACTTTTGCGTGTCGAAGCAACGAAAATTCGTCTGAAAATAATTGAAGTTGTGACTTAGACGGAACATTTAATATAATCAGATTTTGATGTGCTCTCACGTTTTAGGCGGACTTTCTTGATTCCATTCTTGGTACTGGCCTCCTTCTTTATGTCTCCGAGACATGGCTGTCGCAGGTGTATCGCGGTATTCGGCACCAGGATCTCCTAAGTGCCGCCGGCCTGGCTTCGGAGCTGACTCACGGCCCTGTTACTACGAGGGATAATAAGCCCCTCAGAGGTTCCCACCTTATTGACATGCTTGTGGAATTCAGTGGTGTCGGTTGGACATTCAATGTAGGCATTGTAGTGGACGGATGCTCGATCTCGTCTAGATTGACCTTACCTGACTTCTTAGGCGTCTTCAAAACATTTAATTTCAACTATGCACGAATATAGCAGTTCTAATAGCAAGCTGACAGATTACGTTAACAAGACCTTTTCTGTTAGGCTCACATTTACCGGACCTTTCTCGTCACATCGAGCCACCTAGGACAGTTTAATATTTTTTTGCTTTTCGATACAAAAGTTTTGTGATTTCGTGAAGATGGTCTAGTTTTGGCTCAGATGGAATTTTTTCCTGATATTGAAATCTGTATATTGTGCAATTTTTGAACTTCAGATATTTCCAAGTACCAGTTTTCTTTAAAGCCCAAATTATTCTTCTACGTTCACTGGTGAATGACTTATCCGTAATCTCCGTTTTCTGTGGTGTATTTTAGTAGTGAATTCGAAAATTGCCCTATTGTGATTGTTTACTAAAACCCAAAGTTCCTAAATGATGTCTTTATGAATTGTTTGTTTATCTCATAGAAGGAGACCAACCAATCTGAAAATACGATTGGTCTAGAAACCAATGACAGCAGGGTTCGTTTCAGTCGTGTCGGTCAGTTGATCGCTTCAAGCGTTTTGCATGTCGGCTGGGATTACATTGTCGAGGCTCTCACCAACACAGTTGCTCTCGCTGGTATGAAGGTTAACGAGGGTGCGCCCAGCTTTATTGGCGGTCACCCGTTTTCGAGGAGTGTCTCTACAGCTTGTGAGAGGCAAGTTGTATTTTTGATTTAGGCGTCGTTTTCACACCAAACTTTTTTAGAACCTAAGTCTGGTCGTGTTTTATTATTTACTGTCAAATAAATAAGGTTACGTTTATTGTGCATCTGATAAACCATTCATTTTATGGAAACGTTAAAAATTAACTAGCGGTGAGAAATGGCATGTGGAAGGGTGGGTTCAACGCGTGAGCCGTTTTAGTGATAAACTGTCAAACTAGTCGTTTCAAGAGATACTCTCCGTAACACTAATCCATTACTGTAATTGGAATATTTTTTTGAGATCCGTCATTATAATTCTAGACAAGATAACAATTTTAGTGACCATTCAACACAAATTTATCTTGACGTGGGTGGTTTTTCGAGTTTTACCAGCTAGAAGTATCCACTTCTTTAAATGATTATCCTTGAATAGCAATTGATCGAATGGAGTTTTTGATCTCGGCTTTATGATGACGCTTATAATGCCGAAGACAGTTTCTTGGGATTAACTTCACTGTTGTAAACAGCTGCAAAAAAGCGAAAACCCAACTTTTTAATTGGTACATAAATTGACGAAGCATGCGATTTTTCTGTTCCGTTTGCCTACCTATTTTCTAAACGGTATTGTCTTGATGTAATTTTTTTATCACGGTATGCTTTTTTTCAAATTAAGACATCATGAACAAAAAATATAAAGCAGTTGCTTCAATCTACATCGTCTTTCCCCTTTTGTGGCCCACAGCAAAAGAGCCGAAAGATTCGAAATGCCTTTAAGTAACTTGAGACATGCGGCAAGTTGCGAAGTTGCTTTTTTGAGTGGAAATGTTCAGCTTGGAGACCTGGCTTTAAGGATTGTCCATTGTATCCACAATAGGAATTTTCAAGTGCTTTATTTAATGTGAGCAAGTTTTGTTTTAACACCGCCTGGGATGCCCGTTTAAAGAAACACGCGGAAAACCGAAATGTCTAGAACTTCTCGTGGGAGCTTGAGCCTGGTGGATTTGATCAAAATGAGATGATGATGATGACCCGAAGCTCTTTTATGATTTGTGCTGAACATGAGCTAAGCAACGCAACGTGGATAGCAGTAGACAGGCAGAATTACGGTGTTAGTTATGGCCCTAACCGTTAGTTCAATATTTAAATCATACAAATCCATCCAGTCGATAATATGAATTTTTTAATGAATTTATGAAATATTTACGCAAGTTAAAAATGGTGCTGAAAATAATCTGGCTCCAGTGTAGTTGATCACATAGGCTATTAAGGTTTGTTCGATCCGTATATTTTCCCACTTGTAAAAATATTTGTTCTCGACTTGGGGTAATTTTTTTCTGCGTTTATTTAGCTCGGAAGTTATCTCGGAAAGTGCCTCACGACCGTTACTCCAAAGTTTATTCGGCCCACTTTTTTTTGACGATGCCGCTCACAATCAGCAATTTCGTGAGCTTGGTGAAGCACTCTTGACAAGCCTGACGAGTCTTCAGCAAATGGCCCGCCTCGCCTGCAGCCTCGGACAGACCGGACTGCGTGCCCGGTGCAGCAAAGTATTTGCCCTCCTCACGGAGACCGCGAGTGCAGCTTTGAGGGCGGGTCCCCAACTCCTCCCTGCGAATCGCCTCCACCCCGCTCAGGCCCTCAGTATCGATGTTGTCCTAACCAGTGCTCTGGAACTGGGATGCCAGTCGGCGGACTGTTGGGTCCACCTACTAAACGCGTGTCAGCTGGTTCGCGACCTAGAACATGCCTACTTCGCTTCCGTTTGTAATACAGAGAGATCGCCAAAGCACTCCTTGTAAGAAACTTTTGTAGTTCTCAAAAAACAAATGAAATTATGGAGTGTATCTGTCGTGGATAAATGGGCTTGCTACCAGGTCGCATTTATAAATCTACTTCCACGGGTACATCAAAAGAGTACGCGTAGTCTTTGTACTAGCGCTTTACAAACCCCCTATAGTGTTGCGGTCATTTTGTCGCAATTTTTGAAATACTGTTAAAATACCCGTGGGCTTGTTTCTGTAGTTCGTTTAATTAGCGAACTGAAAGCGAACAGAGGCAGCATTGCTTTTATAATGCTATTTCAACCAATGCTAAGTGCGCCAATGCCCACCAATTTATGAATCAACGTATTCAGGTATTTAAAAAAAACAATCAACCAGGTCGCTTCAGTTTTTAATCTTTCTTTTCACAGAAACGGCCTTGATGATGAATATGACCTCTCAACTATCATTCAAAGATTCTCAAGTGATAAGTCCAATTTGGGCAACTGTTTAACGGTGGAGCAAACTGGGATTGTTTTAAACTCACTTTCGGCTCAAGTGGATCGGATTTTTGACACTGCTGCTGAGGTTTTGTCGTTGCCGGCGCTACTAGACTTCGTTTGCTGCCTCCTGCAGGCAAGTGGAGCGGAGTTAGCTTCAAGAGAACAGGCTCAGTCCATGACAACTGGACAGAAGTCCCTCAATCAGTTTAAATGCGTTGTTAACTCTTTGAAAGGTGAAATTCTAAAAGCAACTAAACTCAGATCAACTAATGCAAACGCCTCTGCGTTCAACAGTGCGCAAATTGTTCTGTGCAATTCGCATAGTCCGACTCTGTTCCTCGATCGGTGAGCAATTTGACTTTAATTTAGATGTAACAATCTTGCAATGCTCACAATCTTATCTGGATGGGCTTAGGTTATCTCAGCTGCTCTTGCGAGCGATCCGTTCACCGACCCGTCCACTCTTACACTTATTGCGAGTATGGGCCCTTGTTTCACAGCATCTTGTAGACGCATGCTGTTTCTCATCCTCTTGCATATCATCGTCGTTCTCACTCTACACTGAACGACTCTTAGTTAGCAAGAAGGCCCTTTCTTGTCTTCACGACTGCACAGTCACCACAGTAACCTCGCGACCCGAGCTGCCATACTTCAACGCTAACGAAATGTTCTGCAAGCCATTTGAGATTCTTATGCGTCTGGGTATGTGCTTAAAGATTTGCGAAGAAAACCTTCTAATTATTTTGTGTATTTGCCTGTAGATGCCGATTTCCTTTATTTTATTCGAAAACTTGTGTGTTTAAGATTTCCGTTTCTCTACTTAGCGCCCTCATTAATTGGGTTCATTGTTTACTCGTTTTTTCCACCGGATTGGTTCTACATGTGTTTTTGAGAATAATTTGTCTGACATGGGTCTTTTTTGGTAAATCCCTTTTTCAAATCTAATTTCAAGGCGTAAGAGGCGAATATTTTCAATCAAAGAAATGTGAATTATAACTAATCACGTGTCCATTTCCACAGTTATAGAGGTCGTGACAGTTTAGTAGAGGCCATAGAAAACGAGGTATCTATCGGTTGCATTTTCGAGAGTAATTTATAGATAATTACTGTCTGTGCATCGAGATGTCTTATAAAAAAATGTATTTTGGTATTTGTTAACAACCTTTTCCTATCGGATCAAACCAGTACATTTATACTCGTGTCATTGATGATTTCGTCAACGAATATTTTCTGAAACATGGTTTTCTTTATTTTAACAATTGAAATCTTGTAAGTCGACATTTTCTTTTTACTGACCGGACATTTCGGTTAAGATACAAGCAAATTACCTTGAATTACACAGGCATTTAGACGATGATATAGGCAATTGTGAAAGGAATGACTGATGTATTACTCTTCAAAAGCCCATGATGTTGAGTGGCCTATTTCTGAAAGTTTTGAATTGCTTAATCAAGCCCGCCACCTTCATTGGAAATGCTTCTCCAAAACATTGTGGTCAATCCATAGGCTTCTGAGTAGATATCATTTTCTAATTTTAGCATTCTTTGTAAATGATGATTAACTTTAACGTAATACTTGAATTCATAATGCGCCTTGTAAAAAATAATTCTGTTAACTTTTGCAACAGTGATGTTCGACAATTTGGCTAGAATTTAAATGGTTCATTTCTAAGTCGTGGTACCTTGAACAAGCTTAACTTCAAAGACCGAGGGAATGTCCAACCTTTGCACCGCGCCCTTTTGACTGATTCCCCTTCATTGCATAAATATTTTAGGGTTTCCTTTTAGGGCAACTGTGATGGACTGAAAATGAAAGAAATTGTTGCAATAGTCGTATTTATCTATTCAGAAAATCTCTTAAGGAATTCCACCCTCTCATTTGTATAAAACTATCTGTTCTGTTTTTCGAAAAAAACTTATGTGTGGATTCATATCCGAAAGGCATGTTGAAATGCGCCCAACGCAGATTATCCATCAACTGGTTATAGGTTGCAGATTAGACACAACTGTCCTCATTTTGACGGGTGGTGTAAGTAATGCTTGTAGGTAAAATGTTTTTGAGGTTTTTGATATGCACAGTAGTAATTTGAAATACCTACGAGGCTAGTCTTCATTTAATCACAGCCCAAGGTACTGACATTTCTTGGCAGAATTGTGCGATGGCGATTTACAGGATCGGATTATCAGCTGCATCAGTGAGGTGGTAGAGGAATGTGGCAGTGCGTTGCATTCGGGCTGGCGTTCAATATTTGGCACTCTCCGTTCAATTAACGTCCCATTCCTGGCAGAAGTTGATGAACAGTGTTCGACCACACTCCAGTCAGAATCTATTGGTGTAGTTGATAACGCATCAAAGGCTTTCATCTCAACGTGCCCTAAAGTCACACTGGAAACAGAAGTGTCAAGCACTCGGGTTCCCACCAGGCGGCGTGTTTCAACAGTGCTGGAAATTTTCGAGGTGATTTGTTGCCCTAAACCCTTTAGTTTGATTGTTTTTAGCTTTACTCACAACTCACAGCTTGTGCTTGCTCTTTAGCTTTAGGTTTAGGTTGAATTCCCCCCCCCCAAAACCCTCCCAAGTTGATTTATTTTTTCAAGCTTCCTTAGCTGCCTGCCCAAGCATTGGTCTTTGACTCTGAGATATTCTGTTGCGTTGTCTGCCTTCTTTGTCAGTTCAACCTGCGTCTTTTTTATTGATTGTAGAGCTATTTATGATTTTGATCAAACAGTGCCTGCCTAATGCATTTAATCCAACTGCGTCATTGTGATTTTCGTTTGTTTGCAGATTTTTCTATTTTCTGATGATCTACTCGTCTTTTGTAACATCGCTGTCGATTGCGTTCGATGTCTTCTCCGTTACCTATCTGCCGGTGAACCAGACCGATTGAATGTGGATGTTAATTCTTCGACGAGTCCATTGGAAGCATCCAATGAAAAGAACATTGAAGAAGATGGAGGTAGTCGTACAATTTTCGAATGTTTTTTACCATATTGGTACCGACCAATTTGCTTGTTTGTAAGAAAGGGATTAAATTTTGCAACAATGAACAAAATTTATTGTCGGCGCATACGATAATTTATAGCGACACACTAGCTGGTTAATGAAGAACTCTGCTGGTAAACGCACATACCTAAACCAACACTAAGATGTTCCACCTCTTCAGATTTGGACTAAAATGTATTTATCATTCTATCCTCTAGGTCTTCCACCTCCGGGTGCAGATTCTGTAGGCTTTGAGGCTGAGACATCCTGCTCCCTCTGCAAGGCTACTCTTCCCCTACTAACTCGATGTTGTGAGCTATTTGGTTCCATTTGGACATCGCCGGCCACCGTCCCCTCAATAGACTACGTCCTAAGGTCGGCTAAACGTCAGGCGCATCTTTTTTCTGGTGGCCCTCCACAGCTAAACCTGCTGCCATCAGTTCGGAGCTTCACCTCCCACACTTTCTACGAGAGGGTTAAAAACTTGAATCCATGGTTTTCAACCGATCGCTTCATGGACCCCAATTTCCGGTCACCAACAACGGTGGGCATAGTATTGTAATAACTATAATCTTTTCGGCGTAATGATCACGGTGCTTATCATGCCTAACATATTCACTCTTTTTACTCTAAATCAACGGGTTTAAAAGTAAGAAGCTGCTTAAAATCAGCAATGGGTGCTCCTCAGCCACATCGTATTCTCATTTAAATGTTAGCTCCTTAATTGCAAATGAATTTAATTGAATGCTTTGTAAAAGATATTTCTGAAGATAGTTTTACTTGTAGGCAGTTAAAATGCGTAATTGATCATTCATCTAATTATTAGCCTGGAAATTGTACATTTGGCGGTTGCATGGTTAGAAAGTTGACAATATGATTTCAAATGATCGTTTTGCTACAAGAAGTTTCGAGGTTTTTTTGCCATGGCAACGTGAGCTCGTAATTTATGTGGAGTATTTACCAACGGTAATACGCCATATTGTCTCAAACAGCGCAGTTTCATTTTGTCGCATTTTGTTACGTTTAGGCTGTGGGATTCTAAAGAAAGGCTGATTCCCTTCACTAATTACTGTTTCACAGGTTAACCCTAGTCTAAGGACTCTTCGAAGCCTAGATGATATCGACCAGCCTTCTGGAGTCCTTCATCTTTGGTTCCTCACACTGGAAGGGATCGTGATGGCTATCTGGGACTCTAACCCGAGTGTCCATCGACTTGTCTTTGAGGAATTTACGAATCTTCTCGATGCTTGCATTGAACACATTACCGGTGAGGGTGACATCCCTGTGACTATTCTCACCGATGGCATGGAAAGAGAAGAAGTCATTGCCAAGAATGTGGCACTTGGTCCCTCTTTTACAGTGTTTGTGGTCAACCACGCATTGCTACCGCGACTGCAGGTATGTTTCATCCTGACTTAAAACTTTTTTTAAGTATTGTAGCTTCATGCCCTTGATAGTTTATGCATGACCTTTACGGGAACTTATGCGGTAATTCGTCAGCACAAGTTGTATTGAAAACTATTAATTAGAATACCCCTATCTTTCAGGCTGCTGTTACAAGTGCTGCTACGACAGGGGGAACTAATGATATTTCTACGAAACCGTGCTCACCGTTCCACAAAAAAGGGTCCATATTGGATGATGTCGACTTCGAAACACTAACTTCAAACACAGGTGTTATGGATGAGAAACAAAGTGATGAGTTACTCATTCGGAAACTTAGCTTTATTGTTGGCCAAACGGTGCATCTGGTTTGCAGCCTCGCCACTAGGTTTCATGAAAGTGGTACGGTTTGACTTTTTGATTTTTCTGTTGCTTGTCTGTTTGCATTAAGAAGATTCTATTTTTTTGCTTCAGGTAAGCTGAAATCGAACTCTGTTGTGGGTATGAACCTCATGTTGCATCAATGCTTACACATGTTGGTCGACTGCATCAGTGTACGAAATGACCGCCTTTCTCGGTTGGCGACTTCCTGTCTCAGGTAGAGCATTTTTTGTTCAACTTACAGATATTTACTAAAAAAATTTCTACTGCAGACATTTGCTTTTATCAACTGCGTCATGTTTGACCGCGCATCAATGGGAGCTAGCTATAGCTCACGTGGAGGAAGCCTTCCGTGCTTGCCTGTGCCCCATCCACACGCTGACTTCCGTTCATTTGGATCAAGCCAAGCGTTCTCTTGCTAGCGATGTCGGCCTTCAATTGGCTAATCTTCGTCCAATAGCTGCCTCAGATAAATTGCGTCAACTGGCAAATAGCTTATTCCAGGTGGCCGTCGCGCCAGGTGAATCCACCTTAAAGGGGGGGAGCGTTGCATGCAATGAGGCTATCCGCTCTGAAAAACGGACTTATGCGTTCGAATTTTGGATTTTCCCGCTATGTACACACGAAATTGATCGGCCACCGTTAGACGTGTAAGTTTTTGTTTATCTTAAAAGCCTTATAACCCAACTATATTAGTTTTGTTTAAGCCTTTAGTTAGACACGAAGCTGTGACGTAAGACTGATTTTGTACAATGAGACGTAGCCAAAACTTTGACAGCGGAGGTATGGTTTAAGTTTTATAGGTATTAACTTTAAAAAATCTATAGCGTGTAGGAATAGAACATCCGTTAAATAACTTAGTGATATCCTGACTAAGATAAAATAAGTCGAGTAATTTAAAAATTTCAAAAAAATCACATGGTCGCATTTCCTGTTAGCCAAGCTTTGAAGGGTCTTTAAAGGTAATGTGGTGAGGTGAACAACCCTATTTTTAGATTCTCCAATCCGAAACAATACATTTCTTCGACTAGATTGATTTAAAAAAATGTGTCCTACAATCAATTCAGTGTCGAAAAAAATCCACAAATTAGATTTCTTGGCAAAGAGGAATTTCTTTGCAGGCCAGTTATTCCGGCTAGTTAAGACTTCTTCCCACAGTAATGA